CTTTAAACATGACTAGCTTATCAAAATAATTACTATCTATCTATTCGGATTATTGTATCACAATAATTGGCAAATTAAATTAAAAATATGATTTCGGATTTAATATTAGATAATCATAGTTTTTTTAAAAAAAAAATTCCCTCCAATTTTTATTTATTTTTTAAATAAAGATTTTTTGTGAATAATAAAATAATTTTTATATTCTATGGGTTGTTAAATGGCAAAAAAGGTGGTTGCTTGTTCACCTTGCTACAATATTTGTCGTGTAACTCTATATACCTTGAATCCAACTTCCATTTATATGTAACTACCTTAAACTTTTACCGGTTTATATTTTGTGTCATGTTTTTATTTTTTGTTTTTAGTTAAAAAATTTGGTATGGCCCCATCATTTTGGAATGTCTACAATGTTAATTTATGCAACAATATTATGAATCTGGTTCCCATTTATCATGTGGGATAAAGTTTTCTGTTAAAATTAGTTAGCATACGACCAATTGTTTTTAGTTATTCTACTTTTACCGAATAATAACGAACAACCTTACCTTACTTGGGTTTTAATTTCTACAAAGTTAAAAGAATAATAATATTACTTGTATTCTAGGACTTGTACTTTTTTTCTGACTAAAATATACTTAGAATTAAATATGCACAAACATATCCGTCCGAGATCCTATCTCTAGAATTAATAATCACATACTTGTAGTGTATACTAGTTTTCAAATTTAAATTAATTGTATACTAATTTTCGAATTTTAATGTTTTAATTTCAGGCTTTTCAAAAAGCTTGGAAAGAAGCTTGCTCATTCTCAGGAGCTATATTTATGGTGCCAAGCAATAAAAATTATCTTCTCAAGCCAATAACCTTTTCGGGTCCATGCAAATCAGCTATAACCATGCAGGTTATAATCAAAATTATCAATCGAATAATTCGATTTAAAATATATAAATTGTTAAACATCATTTGTGTTGTATAAATATGAATGTTCTAATATTGTTGTATTGATAAATGATCAGATTTCGGGAACCATCTTAGCCTCCGAAGATCGATCAGTTTACGAAGAAGATGCTAGGCTCTGGCTTGTTATCAAAAAGGTCAATAGCTTGTCCGTCAAAGGTGGCGGTGTCATTGATGGTAATGGAAAGACATGGTGGAAGAACTCTTGTAAAATTAATAAAAAACTGGTAAGAAATTAAATTTGGAAGAATTTCAAAATCTAGTATTTGATCATTTTATTATTTCTTTGAAAAAAATGGCTAATTTAATTTTTTTTATTTTCTTAAATTTCAGCCTTGCAAGCATGCACCAACAGTAAGTTTTCTTGGCTAACTCATTTGTCAATTATTACATACACCGTGCAGTATAACACCATTTATCAAATCATATTTAATTTTTGTTTACAAGTATATAAACGTTGACATATATTTGGTTTTATTGTGTATTTTTGTAGGCTCTAACGTTCGAAAATTGCAAGAATTTGGCTGTGAAAAATTTGAATATCCAAAATGCTCAACAAATGCATGTTTCCTTTCAAGAATGCAATAATGTTAAGGTTTCTAGTCTCAAGGTTACTTCTCCGGAGGATAGCCCTAATACTGATGCCATACACATTACCGGCACCCAAAACATTCAAATTACAAAGTCCAATGTTGGAACAGGTAATAAAATTAACAACTACTCATCTTAGAATAGGATCAAAATATTAGAGGTTCACTATCAAAAAATTGAATAGTACTTCATTTTTTGTTAAATTAGATATTGACCGGATCAATAAGAAATAAACTACCCTAGGAGTTATATTTATTAAACTTTTCTCAAACATTACGTACTTCTTTACCATTAAAAGACATCTCAACATATCGAACTTTTTATTATTACAAAATATCTTTCTAAGCTAGTAGACTTTTGACATGGTTATAATTAAATAATCCGAATATTAAAATATTAATAACGAAGGCTATTCCGATCCTTAAAATTTGTAATAACATGGATTTTTTCTTTGTCCATAAAATTAAAGGTGATGATTGCATTTCGATTGTGAGCGGTTCACAAAAGGTTCGAGTCACTGACTTTACTTGCGGACCAGGTCATGGAATCAGGTATAATTGAAACTATAACAACAATTTTGGGTTTCTCTTTTCTCTATGAAAAAATGAATATTGTAAATTTTTCAATCAACCAATCAAAGCCTCTTAATCCCATAAGTGAAGTCAGCTACATGAACCAAAAGTGATTATTCCGTATAGTCATCCACAAAAATCTTCCTCCTCCATTTCTTACGATCAATTGCCAACATTGTAAATTTTCAATGGAATTAATTAGTTGCAACTAATTTACTTACTAATAATTGAATTTTTGTTGGGTGTGATTGATCAGTATTGGAAGCCTAGGTGACCAAAATTCTGAGGCTCATGTTTCAGATGTAATAGTGAATGGAGCAACTCTTACTGGAACAACAAATGGCTTAAGAATCAAGACTTGGGAGGTATGTACATATAGTGGTCGTAATATCTCATAGCAAGATAAAAATGACTTCATGTATCGCAGTAGATAATGAAATAACCCCTTAAAATTGAGAACGATGTCTCCCCTTTAATTTTAAAGACGACGATTATGATAAATTATTGCAAGTCCTTTTTAATTTTTTATTTTATGACAACATTATACATTTACACTTTTAATGTGATATTTATCTTCAGGGTGGATCAGGAGTTGCAAGTAACATTGTATTTCAAAATATAATGTTATCTAATGTTAAAAACCCGATAATTATAGACCAAGAATACTGCGACCAAGCTACACCATGCAAAAAACAGGTACGTCAATCACGCAATAATAATGTACATAACATTTGTATTTTACAAGGTCGAATATTTGGCTAATTTGGTGCATATATAATTTTGGAAAATAGGCCTCGGCAGTACGAGTGAAAAATGTGGTGTACCAAAACATAAAAGGAACAAGTTCTTCAGAAAAAGCCGTGGTATTTGATTGCAGTGAAAATTATCCATGTGAAGGAATTACTATGGAGAATATTGAGATTGATGGTATTGATGGGGGAAAATCTACCGAAGCAACTTGCAATAATGTCAAAATATCCAAGGTTGAAGATGTCTTCCCGCAATGCTCAACAACTTAAATGAAAGATTATTAGTAGGAGTACACCCTTTGTCCAGAATTAATAGTCCGGCGTTGTATGTAGTAATTTAATAATACTCGTAGAAAGTATGTTATAGTCGAATTGGATATATCTAGCTCATTATTCTAGCCAGGTTAACATTATTTGTAACATAAGTTAGTCTTCATTTCTTGTATATATTGTACGGTATACTTACTTCTTTATAAATTGATTGGAAATTTGGAATAATATTTGATATTGGACTATGTGATTGACTTTTTATATACAAGTATATGGTAGTATTATATACAAGTATATGGCAGTATGGTACTACTTGCTCAAGGCTTCAATTTTTAAAAAGTAAATTGTGTTCCAAATTGTAACTGGCATTTCGATCCATGAAGCACAGCCACACAGGTTGTTACAAGTAAAACCTAAATAAAAATGCTTAGGAGGAGTTATACTAATAAACAAAATACGAGTACTTTGTATGGAGTATTAATTTATATAGAATACCAAAGATAATCATGAAATAAGTATATTTAACTAGAGATAAATCATATTTAGTATAAAGCAATTTTCAAACAAGATAAGGATCAGAGTAAAATGAAAGATAAAAAAAAACGTGGAGATATTTTAACAAAGAATAACATTTTGAGTCATCCAAAAGAAACGCGTACTGTTATGAGCTAGAGAGGGAGACTGTTTTATCCTTTCTTCGTTCTATTTTAGTTGACACGTTTTGACTTTGATATTATTCATAAACTCTATATTAACTGTAAAATCTTGTTAGAATTGTGTTAACGTATATTTTTATAATATCAATTTTTATACTTATTAATAATTAGATTTTTAATCATTAAATTTGTGTGTTGACAACCGCGATAAAAGAAACACATCAACTGAAAAGAACACAATGAATCTTGTTAGAAATTATGAAAGAAAAAAATCTTCTTTGAGTGATATTGAGTAGTTTAGAGCCCACCCAATGAAAAAGGTACATAAATTGTTGATTTGTTGGACCTCTTAGCCCAATCCGATTAAGGCTCCAAATTTCTATATTTAGATAAGCTATTTCATGGTCTTTTCTTTTGTTATTTTTAAATTTTAGCTTAGTTCAATTTATTACTTTATAATTGACTTATTTGAATAAAGTCCATTACTTTTAACTTTTTTTTTATTGTTTTATATGGAAGATAACGCGTCTTTTATGTGGCTAACCACACACAAAATTTCCGTGTGGCCACCTAGCACATCAACACAAATAACATAGTCACCAAAAATAATAAAGTTTATAAAAAAAATCGTCTTCACTCTTTTTCTTACAAAACACGCACAAAGCACTAAAAACCCAGCTTTAATGAGTGTTGTCACTCTTTTTAATTCATATATTAGTGTTTATTTTTAACGTATTCACTTTTTATAATTTTTTACTTAGAGATACTTAAAAATATCATTAGTCAAATTTGTACATTTTTAAGTGTGTAAGTCAAACTAATAAATTTATTTTGTAACAGAGAGATTAGTGAAAAAATATGGTCAATTTAATATTATGAATACTACAAGATCAAGTTAAAGTAGAACAAAAAAAAAAGTAATCCATTATAAATATTCCGTAGATGATAGTTAGGGTATTGTTTTATATATATATATTTTTCGTTCCTTTTACATTGCAATGTTTGGGCATTTGACACTATTCACACACTTTTCATACCACAAATTAAAATCTGTATGTACGGAATATCATATTCATATTTCATATGGAATCTTATTATATTTGTCTCAATGTATAATTTCTCAATATTAGCATCTTATAATATACAAGTATATTTCTATATAAATTAAAGATATTTAAAGTTTAAAATGTGTTTTAGGTAGCGTAATCCTTTCCCATGTAACCTATTACATACAATATCATAGGAATGATCTAATAGTGGAAGTATTATTATTTTTTATTATTATTTTATTATTATTTCAAAGATGGAGATAGGGTATTGGTCTTAACTTGATAATGATGTTCATTTAATTATTTTAGATGATTATAAGAGATAAACTTTAAGTATTTGGGGATGACTAACGAGACTCACCAATTATAAATAGAGTTTATGTTAGAAAAGTGGATATTACATACAAGTCCAACGAGGTTCACTAAAAATGGTATCTTAAGTTTCTTTCTCTCACTAAGAGAGCATGAGCACCTTGATTTTATGGGCTACTATCGCTTTCATGAGTTATCGAGGGAGAGTTACAACTCTGACAAATTAATCATCCATGGCGCGGTTTCCTAACCAACATTCAAACATGCAGCTATTAACTCCACCCCACTCCGCTTCAATAGAATGTGTAGTAAAGTTTATTGGTATAGTTGTTGGCGAGGCCGGGAACGAAGATGTTAACGATAAATTTAATTTGTCAGGGTTGTGATTCTCCTCCGATACCATGGGAATGATAGTAGCTGATGAAAGGTACCTCGTGTCTCTTTGTGAGGTAAAAGAGACGTAAGAAAGCTATCAAAGTACCTCATCTACCTTATTCGAGCTCATGAAACAAAAACCCTAGATTTGCAATTTCTTCTTTCATTTCTCTGTTTTCTTTCCTTTTTTTTTTTTTTTCTGGGTATTTTTTCTTTGATTGATTTATGAACATTAACCCTATTGTAATTTCAGGTTGGTGCTGTCAATTGCAATTACTAATTAAGCTGCAAATATGTTCAAATTAGCAGGCGCAATGTTTGATTGATTGCTTTAATGCGACTGATGAAATATTGGGTTTGCTTCTAAATTTGAGTTTATTAAATTGTGATTTTATTGATTTTGTTGGTTTAGAAATTATGAAGTGGGTTTAATTTGATTCTGTTCATAGTGTTGTTAATTCTAATTGTGCTTATATAATGCTCAATCTGATGATGATATGATTTCATTTCATGTTATATTATTTGATAATGCATACCTATTTTTGGTCAATGGATTCTAGATGTGCTTTACTTGAATTTAGAAGTAGATCTCATTTACTAAAGAGAGAGAATTGGTATTTTAATAGTGCTGAATTTAGTGCCTCTTTGCTTTTATGTTACCGTTGCGAATTCGGGCACACTGTGCAATTATATGATTATTTTGTTGAATATAGGAAGCTTTATGATGGATTTGAATGTACCTGTTTCATGAATGGAAGTTTTGCTTTTCAATCGTTCAAATGGAAATTAAAATACTCAAATTTATCGCTTTGAAGTGCTAAAATATTTTCATTTATAATGCGCAATTTTCAGTACTCAAGACTGGTATTTTAAGTCTGTCTACTTGTCGTTATGCCTCTTAGGCTCCTAGTCAACCCGATATGAGAAAAAAGGGTATAAGATTAGGTGGTGTTGGAATCTTCTTGGATAAATCAATAGTAGATGAACTTGCACTCAGCCACTAATAGCTTATACAAGCAACCTAATGGGTTTCCATTAAGCTGTATTACTCCGACATCCTGCTGTATGTCGAGTGTCAAGTGTCAGATCCTTTGACTCTTCAACGCGATATGACACCTAGATATATAGTGGCCTTATATAAAATTTTATAAGGAGTGTCGAAGGATCCGACACCATGTCAGACACGACACCTAAATCCGAGTCTGTGCAACATAGAATATAAGACACGATTATGCTACTTATAAAGGTTATGTGAATCAACCTCTGCAAATGAGACCTTGCTATAATATGAGAATTTGTTAACCATTCACGCGATATTATGTTAGGAGCCTAGAACTCCGTTAACATCCCATCACTAACAAGAAGTTGAACCACTAGTATAGATCAGTAAAAACTAATTGGTGAAATTAATCTTCCCAGGAAGGGTGATACCCAGTTGATGCACTTCTTAGGTCTGAACCTAGTACATGTCGTCTCATCACACAATTAATAATTGTGAATTCTCAAGATGTGTGACTATTCTGGTTACTCTTGTCTCTCAGAATGAAATATTCTGAGCATCTTCTGAAAATATCTGGTACTAAGGTGTGATACCTAACACAATGTAATTATTGTGTTGTTCAACTCTGTATTCCATGTAGGAGATTCTAGGATTTTGGTGGACAATCAGCTTTAATATATGTTTGAGACCCTTTGTCATCATATGACCGTTGATTCAACTTTGTGCATGTTATAAGATATATAGGTCCTGTAATAATAGCTTGTTTTGTTCCATGTATACCTTGAAATAGCCTCTTCATCTAATTCTAGAATAGGATTCGACTGCTTTCATGTTAGAATATTTTGAAGTTATGAGTCATGTTTCAGCCTCCTAAACTTCACTTGGCACAATCTATACTAGGTGGTATTTGGCAGTTTTTTTTTGTTTAACATCCTTGCTGACCTCTGTCCATAAGTCAAACATACAATATTACTTTATCTTCATGTCTTCTCTTGAGAAACTAAAGCAATGGTATGTTATATTGTTCCCGTAGATTGTCAATGATAACGAAGTATTTCAGTTACTGTAGGTTATGATTCCCTTCATTGAGCTCAGAAAGTGATACTTGAGGAGAATAGTTTTTGAATGCCTTCAACAGCAAGTGGAAAAACATTGTGGTCTGTTCTAGTAAGGGCATTTGTGCAAGTGGTACTCTGGCTAGCTGTTTCTTTTATGTTTCTCCCCGGGGACTGGGATTTTGGGTTTGTCGAATGACTTAGACTTCTGCTATTTCGAATACACTTAGCTTATTGCCTATGGGTTAACTGGTGAAGCCTGATTGCTGAGTGAAAAGCAAAATGTTTATATGCTGAGTCTGATTTCTAGGTTTGGATCTTCTCAGTTTGTTGCTTGAGATTTAATGAAAACTGTGGTACCGTTGCTTGTAGGTGTTAATCATGATTGTTTCTTAGCAATTTTCCAACATCATTGACTTTTTAGCATATAGTTATGTTATTTATCCTTGTCAGGTTTTTTTCCCCCTTCTGTGTACTCTTTTTGAAATTTGAAGCTATCATGATAGAAGTTTCTCCGTATACAGTTTAATGTCTTTTTACACAGACCCCATATTTGATTGTTTGTTTTATCGTCTGGATTAATTTGAAGATGTTCCATTATGTTATGTTCTTGTCTCTCGCTTGGAAGCAAAGATTGCAGCTTTTTTGTTGATGCGTTTCTTTGATATTGCTTCAGAATGATAGATAGCATGCCGTATTACATCTGAAACACTTTAGAACTTAGATTATCTAGCTCAATATATCAGTACTGATAAAGTCATCACTTAGTATCAGTACAGAGAAGGCATGATTGGAAGGATACTAAAGGAAGAATCAGATGAAAATAGAGGTGCTTCTATAGTTCTATGAAGAAATTATCGATTGGAACTTAATTTAAATTCGAGCTGGTTGTCTAGGTTAATGCCAGTGTTCTTTGTTTAGATCCATGACATCCATCCGAGGGATAATGCAGGTACCACTGAGAGTGGGATATAAAAAGTCCACTTCCAAAAAAAAAAAAAAAAAGATAGTAATGATTGAATTTATGTACTCGTATTAGCCAAAGTAAAATTAGATGTGTTTGCATATGTAGTAAGATGAAGTATATTGGAACTGAGTAGTAACTAAAGCTGGTTCTCGAATCCAGTCTTGTAGATTGTCTGATTGTGTTGAATTGTTGATCTATTCTTAATCCATCCACCCCTATAATATTTCTCCTGTAATAAAGGCGTTTAATATGTTTGGTTACCCAATGTAAAAGGCTTGGCTTATGTGTATACTAGTACTTGATGCACTCGATGCGTACAAACCGACATCCCTACCCTATGGAATTATGAGAAAACACATGTAAATAGTGTGAGGACAGTTATATCTTTAAAATGTTTGTTTACCTATATGTCTCTATTGATATGATCTTAATTACATCTAAGCTTTTCCTTGTGTGATTTACTGATTAAACTCTTATGAATAATGTTTGAACAGTTATACCATTTAAATGCTTATTTACTTATTTGCCCTCATTAATGTCAATTATCTTTTTCCTGGAACTCTTAACAACAGTGTGCAGACATTTATACCCCTTAAAACATTTGCTTACATATTTTTTTCTCATTGATGTTGCCAACAACTGAAAATGCTCGCTAAATATATCTCGTGCGTTAGCCACCTTTATTCTTTTTAAAAGTTTGAGATAAATTCTATGAATAATATTTGGACAATTATATTCTCTAAAATGTTCATTTACTTGTTTTTTTTTTTCTTTTGAATAGAAATGTCCATTTACTTAGTTGCCCTCATTAATGTTAATTGCCTTATTTTTGAACTTTTAAGAACAATGTGTGGACATTATACACTAAAAATATTTGTTTATATATTTTCCTTCATTAATACTACCAACAACTAAAGTTCTAATGTAAGGTCAAATAAAAATAGTTCTCTAGACATAGTTAGCTATGGCAAGCACATCACGCGTGTTAGCTGCCTTAGTATTCATATAACAACAAAGTGTACAAATTTTTATGTCTATGACTAACTAAATTCTTATAATGGCATAAACCATTTTTTAATTTTAGTTTTGAATAAAAATGATAAAGAAATTTCATAATATTTGGTTTTTCAAAATTTGGCCATTGGATTTCCACTCGTGGGGTTGTACTCCCTCCGTATTTTAATACTTGCCCCATTTCTCAATGCGAGAGTTTAGGAGAAATAATATAAAGTAATAAAATATGAAGGAAGTGTGATTGGTGGAAGAATAAAGTATGATATTTGGGAGGAGAAAAAATCTAGAAGTATTAAAGTATGGCAGTTGGGGGGGGGTTCACTAGGAGAGAAGAAACCAGTAAAATATTGTGAAAGGTTTTAAAAAAAGGAAATGCAGCAAGTAATAAAATATGGCCGCAAAGGAAAGTGGAGCAAGTAATAAAATATGAAGTGAGCACCAGTCATTAAGAGAGAGTCCACTTTATAAATTCAAGGAGGTTTCATCCCAATATAATATGGAAATAGGAGATGTAGTTCACTAGTCCTTTAGTCTTATATAGTGTTTAACTTTGTCAACTTTTATCAATATGAGAAACATTCATTAGTTACATAGTTACATGTGTTGTTTGAGAGTGCATTAACATTTATGTATGGAGTAATAGAGCTCATAAACATATTGACTAGTATGACTACTCCCTTTACCCCCTATTCATTGTTCTATATGCAATTTATTGAGGTTTATTAAGATTTAATCTAAAATTAGTGTGTGGTCCAGACGCTACCCGGGTTGCTAGTTTGTAGTTGTTTATTTTACTAATCATGTTCGACTGTTTTTTCTTAGTGTTTTGGTAATTATCTTGAAATCTCATGAGTTGAAAAAAGATTTGTATTAGGAGATCCATATTCAATATATTTGATATGTTATGATTTAAAGATATTTAACAACTATTGACTATTTAACTACAAAAAAAATAAAATTATTATTTTTCATCAAATCAAAAAACAACACAGAGTTTTTCAAATTAAACTTCAAAATTAAAGTTGTTAAATTGTATTATGTCATTTCATAATGGATACAAAGTACAATTAAATACAGATTAATTATCTATCTAAGTTAACTATAATTTTGTTAGATAGAAAAACAAATTAAATGAATAGCTAAGATGGTAAGATTCGAAACTTAATACTTGTTGGTTTTGAGTTTAAGTCTGTATAAATATTTTTTAGTTGTCAAATCTAATACATGTTGTGGAGATGACATGTCATGTTTATAGTGTTTAAAGATCTGAAGTGTGACACATATTGCTGACATGTCATGTTTATAGTACTTAAAAGATAACACATGACACATATATAGTTTTAAGAACGCTTTTTATTTTAATATATAAGTATAGATATTGCAAGTTAATGGGGTAACTTAGTCTATTTACTTTAATTTAGTAAGTGTGTGCATGTGGGATAACTAGTAAAAAATCAATTAATGCATAAATGTAAATTTTCTATCAATCAACTAATATAATTAAGATTATATTCAATTAAATTTGAGAGAGAGAGAGATGTCCTCTAGCTTTTCCATAAATTATCAATCAATCAATTAAAAATACACAAATTTACTTCTCACCACAACTCTTCAAAACCTCTCAATTTTGTGCATTATTATTATTATTATTATTATTATTATTATTATTATTATTATTATTATTATTATTATTATTAAATAACTTACACTTCTTCAAATGAACACCCAAAAAAATGTTTTGCATAAATTTTACTCTACTATCTATACTATATATTAAAAGGCTTCCTAATGAAGTTTATGTGCCACGTAATACCTTCCTCAATCAATCGAGTATTTTATTCACGTGCTTAAGATTTAAGAATATGGTTTATACAAGATTTGAACCCACAATCTTAAGTTTTAAAGGTTGAGAAGCTTTTGCGTGAGACCAAACTCACCGTGAGTCTAATATATCTGACAATAATATTCTAATATCTGACAATAATATTCTAATATATGCCATTAATATTTTAATATATGCCATTAATATTTTAATATCTGGGACTAATATTCTAATATCTAACATTAATAAAAATAATCTAATGTCAGATATTAGATTATTAATGTGAAATATTGGATTATTAATGTCATATATTAGAATATTAATGTCATATATTATAATATTATTGTCAGATATTATATTATTATTGTCAGATATATTGGACTCACCGTAAGTCCGACTCACCCAATTTTTTACGTTAGAAGTATAGTGTTAGCCACCAAGCTATTACCATATTATTTGTCATTATATATATATATATATATATATATATATATATATATATATATATATATATATATATATATATAAGGGATCCGGTGAGAATAGGTCTATATGTGAAAATCCTATTATATATGAGAACAAATCTCAACCATTGGATACCTCATGATCCAATTGTTGAGATTTCTCACATAGTAATGGAAAAAATATAATTTACATTTTTTTTTTATTTGGCTCATTTTGAGCAATAATTTTTTGTTCATTTATCAAATGAGCAAAAAAAAATTATCAAATGAGCAACATTTTTAATTTTCTTTTTACGTTATTTTTTTTGTTATTTTTTTTTGGTTTTTTTTTCTCATTTATCAAATGAGCAAATAATGAGCAATAATTCTTTATTTATTTATTAGATGAGCAAACAATAGTTCTTTGTATTGTTTGCTCATTTATCAAATGAGCAACTATTCTTAGTTCATTTATCAATTGAGCAACAATTCTAAAACATTCAAACTAATATGAAACCTTGAACTTACTTACTATGTCTGAAAATGTAAACAATTGTTGGATCATAAGAGACCAACCGTATACTAATTTATATTATGCACTTCATTTTCTGCCTATTTTTGAAATAAATAGTTCACAAGGTTAATTTAATACATGTTGTTTTGCTCATATCCTTCACAAATGAGCAAACTATATTAAAATGAGCAAAAACACATACAATAAAAATGCATAAATGAAAATGAACAAACTTATATTAGAATCTCAGAAAATTACTCCATACTATCATCACATAATACAAACTCATAAAACTCATTTTCGATTGCCGAAATCTTTCAATTTCATCGGAACGCGCGACCATAATCGTCGTTGAGTGGAGCTTGAAAATGACATAATTGGTCTGAATTTTGAGCTTAATTTATTTGTTATTGATGTTGCAAAGTTAATAACAATGATGTTAATGGTGATGTTATTGATGGAGAACATAATCGTCGCCGATTGGAGCTTAAAGACGCAATTATTGACCTGTATTCGAGCTTAATTTCCTTGTTTTTAATGGCGCGAAGACGATGGTGATATGAGCACAGTACAAAGACGTCATGGTTGATTAGAACTTAATTTCTTTGAAATTAATGGTGTGAAGTTGATGATGTATACTGAAAATAGGTGAGAGGAGAGAGAAAGAGAAGGTGAGGAGAGAAAGAGAAAGAAATGTGGAGGTGAAAGATAGAAATAAGGGGGTTGGTTTAAAATACTCTTTTGACTTTGATTTTTTAGGGAATAATCACAACCCTTAGATTTAAAAAATTCAAAGGTCTAGATTTATTCTCACATAAGTTGGGGTTCTCACATAAGGGATGTGTTCTCACATGATCTCATTTCTCTCTCTCTCTCTCTCTCTCTCTCTCTCTCTCTCTCTCTCTCTATATATATATATATAAGGATTTCAATCATGGAATTAATGCAATAACTCGGCACATCGCCCGAACCTAAAACTAGTTTCTATATTTAAAACATATAAATACCCCATATCCCAATGCACAAGTAAATTCTACTCCGTAGTAAATTTGAATAAAAGAGCGATAATTTATTTTTTTTGACACAAACCGGAAGCTCAGCATTTTATTAAAGCATCAAGTTTGCAAGATCATTGCAAATACCCCCCTGTATATCAAGAGGGTACTCTTCTAACCTAATACGACACTCATTGAAATTGCAACTTACACTAGCTAAGCTATGCGCTACTACATTACCTACCCTTCTTATA